GGGGGGGGGGGGGGGAAATGTAAAAACATCTTGCATCAAATCAGCGAAGATAAAGGCAACAGGTGACCTTTCTTGCCTTTGTAGTGAATTAAGTTGTCCCCTTGTATTTACTTTGAAATAAATATAAACAGTCTGCATGGGTTACTACCACAGAAGTTACACACCATGATAAACCAAACACATATAAACACATGACATGCAATCAAAGAAATTCCACTACCCTTTTCACAAGTTTTCAAAATGCATTCGTAATCAACTACTCCGCAGTGATTATGTAAGGTCACTTCTCATCCACCAACATTGTTTGAAAAGTTACTCTCTGCTCTTTTCACAAGTAAAAGCCACAAAAACATCAGAAGTTTAATGTAATAAAACACTACAATTAGACTCCTCACTGTTGTGATTTAAGTAAAAAGATCAGTATTATGAATGATTACTTCAGGGTGCTTATATTCAGAGGTGGTATTTGAAAGGCTCATTTCAATTCTTCCACCTAAAAGGTATCTCGCTGTATTCCTATAGCCATGCATACTTACTTATTATTTCTTTGTTGTAAATTAAAGGAATAAAACTTTGTCTTTCTGCAAAATGAAGCAAAATTAACGAGGAAATAAAAAAAAGGCAAGAGCTTTGCTTGTGCACCATCCATATGTCAGCACAGGAAACCAAGGCACCACCTAACTGCACAAATACATTTTCCAAACAAGACCTGTGTTACACATTGGTCAGTTGTAGACCATGAAAGAAAAATAAGGCCACTTAAAAACTACTAGGCATCACAACTTTGACGGATAAGTGACAAAAAATTACTTCATTAGGAAAAGTCTTTAAGTAGACAGCAAAATGAAACAATTTTCAGGACAGCATAACAACTCTTTTCAGTAATATACTTTTCCTTTAGCATACTAAAGACAGACTGTTGTGAAGCATCTGAAGCGTGATATAGAAACAGCAACACTGAAGAACTGGGCTTCTTATAGGAACTTAAGAATAGAGATGAAGAAACTTTCAGTTCTGTGTATTCTGATACAGAAAATATAAATTGATCTCAAATAATATTTGTATCTAAGTAGTAGCATGGTTATCTGTAGACAAGCTCTAAAAGATATTGTTGACCAGATTCTTTGTATTACCATTATGGTAAAAGCAACACTAAAACAAGAATCACTAAACTTTGTATCTAGAGGAGACAGGATGCATCATTCTGTTACTAAAGATAGAATTTATAAAGCAAAATCCATCAAAACAAGTCCATAAAAAAAAAAAGAAATGCAGAAACAGAAAGATGAAGGCTGAATTTGCTGGGTAGAACTCTTGTAAGCTGTTCAACTATGAGACAGTAAAGTTCTAAGAGGAAAGATGTTTCATTTGCATTAGTCAAAATTCATATCTCATGCAAAAATAATGTTTAAGAATTATAGTATGAACTGCTGGACAATCCAGAATAATACTTGAGGTGAATATTCAGTTTCCCTCAAAAATGCCAATTTGAAACAGGAGAGCTAAAGATGTTGGGGTGTGGTTTAGCAAAAGTGAACATGCATTCCTTGCTTAAAACTAGGTGAAACCAACAGTACTCAGAAGCATCCTAGTTCATGCCCTAAACAAAAGCCCATGGCTTTCAGTTCTAGCTGTTCAAGGAAAAGAACAAAAAAGCCTGTAGTTTTACTGCAAGTTTGGTATTTGTGCTTTATAAGTTATATGTAACATCTCAAGGCTGCCTTTTCACTTTTTATCTTAACATTGACATTTCCTGAAAGTGTAACAATAGGTATTAAATCAATGCAAATGAATGAGATACATGAATTCAGATTCCCTGATGATACAGACTGGGACTGTAACTATGGCAACAAGTACTCAGTCTTCAGAAAGATGGTTCTTTCCCAAGAATTTTTGCTTTCAATGATGTAGTACAGATAATAGCCATTAGATGTCTCCCTTGTTATTCGTTTTAAAACAACAAAAGAAAAACGCCCAGTGGTTGATATCATGCAAGTTATTAACTAAAGCTTTTCCAAAAATCTACACTAACAGTGCTACTTTCTCATAAAAAATATCCTTTATAAGTGTGGATGGGAAAAATCATATATCCTCCTTCATCACCAAGCTTCAGCATTTCTGGATGCTGTGACTCTCTGCAAGTAACCCCCTCTATTCGGCAAAATCTCCTCAACTGAGCACCTCTTATATTCCTATGGCTTTACCAGTGTGCACTATGCACAGAACATACTTGACACCAAATTATCACCTATCAGAGATCAAGAAAATAGATCCAAGATCCTCAAGAGAAACACAGGGAGAGAATTAGTCTTTCTGCAACCATTACAAAATCATGGGATAGACCAGGGAAAGCAGAATCTAGAGAATCCCCAAAGGTTTTCTCGCTCACATGGTCATGATTAGTCATTTCTTTCATTCCCAGCTGAAAACAGCCAGCAGGTAGTAGACACGTTGCCTTAGCATTAAAAAGGGGGAAAAAAAAAAAAAAATCAGAGATTCATGAACTTTGCACCAAAGGCTCCTAGTATCAAAAAACATACGCTGGGTTTCCTAGAGTTTTGAGATGTCTCAATTTTGAATCTCTAATCAGTTAATTCTGCTTCCTTAAGAGTACCTGCAACCAAAGCCTTCAGAATATTGCCTGTATATTCCTTCAGAACAGTGTGAAGACATACCTGTAAATAAACTTTTTTTGCACCAGGAATATAATCTGCAACTCTGCCGAAGATCAGTCTGCCAACTCCTGAAGTAATGCCCAGACACAGCAGAAGCACTTCTTCTGGCACGTTGTCACCAAATCTATCTTTTACATGGTTCATCTGTTGGAAGAAGAGAGTTGAGAAAATAAACTGGCTTTAGAATTAAAAGGAAGATAAACCTTAGAAAACTTGAGTTAAATAGAAGAAGTCAGTGAATCTCAGACTTACAAGTGTGGCTAAAAATGGTCAGCTACCTTACTCTGCTTTTACAGATTTTAGAGTAAGTTTTGCACTGGCTTATCAGTATTAAGTGCAATGCAATAAAACCAATCTGAAACGTGTTGTTGCTTTATTCACAGTTACAGAACTTAATTCAAGAGAACAAGGCGGCTGCATCCAATACCAAGAAAACTGGAGAGAACCCTGAAGTGTTCTACACAACCACATCTCATTCACTAATCATAGATTTAACATAACGCAGAATCCACAAGGGCTGTCTAGAACTGGTTGCTTCACTGGCCAGGGCATGCTCTCTGGTCTGAGGGTACCAAATGATTAATGAGTATCACTGCAGTACCATGTGTTGAGAGATCTATGCTACCAAATTTACAACATAGCTCAGGGCAGGAGTGGGAAGCGGAGGGGCAGAGAGTTGGAGGCCGGACAGTGCAAGTCGGAGGGCCCTCCCGGACTCATCCTGACATCCATGATCACCATGGCATCCAGGGGCAAGGAGGAAGAGGAGCAGGAACCCCCTACAGTGCCAAACACAACAGCAAGCACTTCCAGGAGAGGGTGCACCTACAGCAGCAATGAATAAGGCAGACATCAGCCACTTCACCTTGAAGAACTAAAGCATCTGACCAACAGTCCTGACACTAGACCATCAACTACAACGTTATGAGCTACCAGTGTCAGTAATTCTAAACTTTCAAGTCATGTTAAAAAAAAAAAATCATAAGACTGGCTTGATGGATTTGGATTTTTTTATCTTCTGCCTGGTTCCACAGCAGTTTTTGTTTGTGGATTTTTTTTTTTTTTTTAAAAAAAGAAATCAACCATAGACCAGAAATTACTCATAGGAAAGGTTTTTTGCTCAACTGCTTTTTGAAATACACTTGGCAATACCAAATATGCCAAAGTGGGCACTAGAAGATGTAAAAATCATTTGCATAGTCCTGCAGATCTCCGTGCTTGTGACTAGTTCCAAACAAGAAAGTGTAAAGACTCAGAGGTGTGAAGAAGCAAACGGGAGAAACTGATTTTAAAGAAAAGCTGTAGTAAAAGCAATTAAGAGACAAGGTGATCACAGGCTGACAGAACTGGGTAGCAAAAGCTGCACACCATTTTTTTTTTTTATTAATTCTAATTATGCAATATCACTTCAAACTAAAGAACCTTTATTCTCATATCTATAAAATGGAAGAGTTCAGGTTTAGTAAATACTTCTAGAGCAAGACAGACAAGATTCTTTCCTGGCCAGAGTGTTAATACACAAGCAGAGCCCTTTTTTTCCAACACAAACAGGATTTGCTAAGTGATGGCAATTTTCTGAAGTATAAAATCAGTTGGGTTTTGTTTACATGTCACAGAAAGTCTATTAAATCTAGTATTAATTTGTCCAATATAATAGATTTTGTCAGAAAGGAAATAAAAAATAAGGGTTAGTGGTTTTGGTTTGGTTTTAAAGAGTAACTTCTAACCTCAATTGAAGACAGATGCTTCCTCTTTCTATTTTTGAGGGTTGGGGTTTTTTTCTTTACTTTTTAAGACACATTTGAGAACAGAATCTGATTAAATTTTTCTTCTGAAATTATATTTAAACATAAAAGATAAGTTGTTCTATTTATTCCCTTTCTGTCAAAGGTGAGAATAGAAAAAGCTGACAGCTTTCCCACCCCTACCTTTATGTGCTTGTCAACACCTGGTGGCCCAGCCAGCAAGAGAAGCCAAGGTATTTTCTGCCATTCTTCTCACCTGCTCCACTCCCATGTTTCTGCAGCCTCTAGCTTGTTTAATCAGCAGACCTGATTCATCCACTCCCCAGAGGCTTTTCAAGAGGCAAGATAAAGCTCTATGCCTAGATAACTATTAACCCTGCAGCTGCGACTGAGTAACTGGATTTCTCAAAGCAGCCCTCTCAAGGGTGAAAAATACTGTCCTCTCTCAGATCAATGGGGGAAAATACTGGATTCAATCAACTCCTTAAGTAGGAAAACCACCACTACTCATCTCTTATCTTCAAATATCTAAACTAGTAGGTTTTGGGGTTTTTTTTTAGCTTTCACTCCTCTTAAGCACACTATAACCTTAAAGAGAGCCTCCAGCTAGATGGAAGGAGAAACTTTCTCTCCAGGAGGGCAGTAGGCCATGGCCCAGGCTGCCCGGAGCGCTTGTTCAGTCTCCTTCCTTGGAAGTTTTCCAGGTGCACAAAGCCCTGAGCAACCCGGGCTGATCTCAGAGCTGACCCTCTGATCCTTACCAGCATATTAAATCTTCAGCGATACAGTCACTAAGCAAGCTGTAAGTAACAGCAGTATTATTAACTGAATATCTGAAAATACAGCAATTCAGGATTAATTCAGTACTGTAAGTGCTAACTCATTTGGACTTGGAGACATTTCTTTTAACTACTGGTTAAATATATTTATTTATGATCAAGTGGTTTAAACAAAATTCAGATTTCCACAGATTTTTAACTGATAGAACTACTCAGAAATCCCATGATGAGCAATTACTTGTGAACCTTCTCAGGCAGCATCTCATGCATTAAGGCTCTTGTCATTGCAGAGCTATACAGGCTGTAATTACATGACTCTTTAGGCATTACCTACGGCAGTCGAATGGGGACCCAGGCACACAGCAGACAAAGGCCAAAGCATTTCCCTGTGGGTTTTGCCTGTCTCAGTAACGCAGCTAGCTCTTCACTGAGCTGCATGCAAGCTGAATTGCAGGTCTGGTTTTTCCAAATGTAGAGGAGGCCTGTAATTTTGCCTGAGCCAACCAGTACAAGATCTTCCAGACTAGCATGGCTTCTTTACTATTTTAAAATAAATTATCTTCATACAATGCAGTTTACCAGATCAAGACAGTCTATGTCTTAGTGGACAATGATACAATTATGATAGTGGACAATATAACTGATCGTATCCCTGGCACCAGCATTTTACCTTGCTCTGTTATCAGGGTAATGCATATAAACACAGAACTTTTCATCCAAATTCTCATTACTGTTAGGATGAGGCTAGAAGAAAGATTAGCCACTTGGTAGTGGCTAGAATACTTTCAGATATACTGTCTTGGCAAACCTCTCTCCATCCAACCAAGGCCCAGATTTTGCCAAGATCTTCCATTCAGTGCACACACATTTTAGCTATATTCATGCACTGAATCAAAGATAGAGTGAACAATCTGAGTATATGTCCAGTTCCTTTTTCCAAAGACAAAGAACCTGAATCTGAAGGAAGTGGTAATGAGCTAGTAAGAAAGAATTCTTTCTGTCAATTGCTTTCCTCCTGTGTATATTCCACTTTGGGAATTCCCAATCAAGTACAGCTTTAGTAGGCTAAACGCAATGCAATCTTTCTCACCAAGAGAGATGGCCAACAGCAATATACGACCTAGAAAAGTTTGAGCACATAAAACCCAGCATTCTCTTTAAGTCCTGATTTCTGACACTATTCTTACACTGGTTCTGAATGAAAAAAGGAAACATTTACAGAGTATTGCTAGTGCAATTTGTAAATTGGAGATACTATTCCTAACAGCTCCAAATTAACAGTTTTCTGAAAGAGCTGAGGGGGGTTCTTTTGGTTTTGATTTTTCATTCCCAGACAGGAAAAGAAAAAGGATAGCCTACACAATCTTTTCATTCTTCATGCTTTCCAGAAATGCATGAGTTCTACAGAAATCCAGGCAAAACTCTGCTTCCTCAGAATGACCATTGGTGAGCCGTGTCTGTAAGTAATGAAGATGAAGCTTTACACGCAGTGTCTTACAAGTCTAAAACATAACTTTACAGACAAAAAAATATGATCAGAGATTGAATCAATCATAGGGCTCATGGTATGGAATCTATTCTGAGGTATAAGCACTCGTCATATCCAGAACTGCTTTAATAACATTATTTTTTCAGTACTAATTGGCCCTCTTAGCCATGCAACGATTTTAAATCCAGGCACCCAAAATAATTTGAGATTTGTATAATGTATGAGACTTAGCCATCAATCTAGGCATAGAAATATGTTCCATAATCTATTGATTTGATTATTATTACCATAGCCTTCAAAAACCCATTCAGTGTTACTGGAAGGCATGATGGCCTTGTCATTCCATCACAGAATCGTTTAGGTTGGAAGAGACCTTTAAGATCATCAAGTCCAACCATTAACCTAACCCTACCACTAAACCATGTCCCTAAGCACCTCGTCTACCCATCTTTCAAATGCCTCCAGGGATGAGGACTCAACTACTTTCCTGGGCAGCCTGTTCCAGTGCCTGACAACCCTTTCTGTGAAGAAATTTTTCCTAATGTCCAACCTAAACCTGCCCTGGTGCAACTTCAGGCCATTGCCCCTCATCCTATCGCCTGTTACCAGGGAGAAGAGGCTGACCCCCACCTCCCTACCCCCTCCTGTCAGGCAGCTGTAGAGGGCAATAAGGTCTCCACTCAGCTTCCTCTTCTCCAGGCTAAACAACCCCAGCTCCCTCAGCCGCTCTTCATCAGACTTGTGCTCCAGACCCCTCACCAGCTTTGTTGCTCTCCTCTGGACACGTTCCAGCAACGCAACATCTTTCTTGTAGTGAGGGGCCCAAAACTGAACACAGCATTTGAAGCGCGCCCTCACCAGTGCCGAGTACAGGGGCACGATCACTTCCCTACTCCTGCTGGCCACATTATCACTTGGAATTTTTTTTTTCCAAGCAGTAAGTGCAAGAAAGGCAAAAGAAAAAAAAAAAACTAGGTGAATGTCCAAGTAAGCAACTGACAGGACATAAATGGAGTGGTTATACATAGAAAAGTTATATTGGCACTCATCTTCAAGACTACCATTATAACTTGGAAATTTCAGAAAACTAAGAGCTTAGGTTTATTTCACACACATCTCCTGAGAAAAGAA